TAAATCTTAGCGTTACATCTTCCTTGCGTTGTTTTCATCCTCTTCTTGGTCAGAAAAGATGGAAGAGAAAAAAAGATCTGACTAAAAGAAACAGTTCATAATGTCTTTTTTCTTTATCTCAAACTCACGCCAAATGTTCACTCGAAGGTACTTTTTAAAATCTTTGCACGTGCAGCTACAGATTACAATTCATTGGTGGCCATAGGTACTTTTAATGAAATCGTTTAATTCAGAATCAAATACTAGAAAAGACGAACTGAGAGAGTCTGTAAACATTACTATAGCGACAATTTTCATTCAAAATAGATTCCTCTCTGCTTAAAATGTTACAGTCCGATTTCTGTTAGTATAAGTGTTATTTTTTTTAAGTCATCAGCTGCGTACACTCAGTAACTGCCGGAGGATATGTGATTTTTAGAATGGAAATTGCAGTAATGATGTAAGTGATAACTGATGGATTGATTCACGTCAACGGACGCGGAAGCTAATAGTATTAAAAGCTCTGTATTTGTTCAATTTGATCGAAACCTTAAGTGGTTTTAACTCCTTCATAAATGTTATTAGGATATGCATGTGCTAAGAAATAAAGGCATCTAAAAAAAAACCAAATTTTCCTAATGGTTCTTCGCATTTGCTAATCATAAAAATTGAGGCTTGACGCAAGTGTCAACTTGGATTAACTCTTAAAACGGCAGTGATTCATGATGTACTTTTCTCCCATTTCCATAGCCTAAGTCAAAACATGTAATTCGTGAACATAAGCAACTGGTTGTCTAGGATAAAACTAAGTGTTCAAAATAAAGTTTCATCTATATTCCCGACGAAGTAAAAAAAGTTGTCCCTGTCTTTTGTGGGTCTGGCTGGTTTTCAAGCATTGATGAAACAGGTCATTCTCCCGGTTTTTCCTTGCTATAAAGCGCAGCAGAACGCACGTAGTCGCGGTAAAAGCAAGAGATTTAATTTAAGGGAAATTTGGGCTTACTGTTTCTGTTAATTTCTTGTAAATAAATGCAGCCTATGACTGATGTACTTTAAATTATGGGGTGAACTTGTTAAGAAGAAATATATATGTACTTCTTTCTTTATTTTGTTAGAACGATGCTACGCCGGAGTAATCGAATTACGTAGGAAACCAGTTATAACCAGGTGCAGGACGGCAGCTTGAGTGTGAATATTGATCAAGGGTAGGGCACGTGCACCCTGGCTTACTTAGACCTTGTCGCTGATGCAGTTTGAACAATAAAAGATGAGCACGGTAATGGATGTTATTATTCACAAGTTGTATTCACCACCTGTGGATGATCTTTGGTGTAACATGAATTCAGTAGAAAGCAATTTACCAGCTACTGACTTCCACTCGAATTATAAAGGTAGTAAATAGATTTTGTTCCATGGCACGTATCAAAACTTACGCGTTTGGTACACAAATTTACATAGAATATTCTTTCACAAACGATCGATGAAATGAAAAATTTGCGCTAGAAAAAAGACATTGAGAAAAAGGAAAATAATTGAGCTTGGGTGATGGTTTTAAAATGGCCTAATTCTGGAAAAATTGGGCTCCAAACTAGACTAAAAAGGTCGAAGTTCGATACAGAATAGCAAAAGGGTCGCCGAGAAATCTTATGGTCCAGATTAGTTCTCTCGTTTTCTAACATTCAGTGTTTTTGATGTTGACGGCAACATCTGTGAAAAGAATGGTCCGAAGAGTAACCTGTTGTAAACAACAGGCGTCTTCATTCATAGACGGTTGGGTGCCAAGGTCATGCCTTAACAACCTGTGGGAGAAATCTGACTTTGTTAAGTCCAGTGTTTCATTCCCTGGTTTGAAAATAATCAATTTCAATTGAAAAAGAAGTCGTATAATTCTTTCATTGAAGCTCCTCTTCGAACTTATTCCCTGAACTCCTGGTAGCTAACTAAATAAAATTTGGTGACTATTCCAAAAGCTGGAACTTCACAAACTGCTCTGCATGTAATTATAGAATTTTTTGGTGGTCCGTGAAGAAGTAATTTAAGCGAAACTTTTTGCTCCACGTCTAGAATCGTTTTCAGTGTGTCACTAAAAGGCTCTCTGATCTTTTGGACATAGAAAGATTCCTAATAATTTCCTCAAAATTAGGAAATTTGTGTTTCAAATATGCGTGATTTCCTGAAATTCAAGTTTCGTTAATCCTTTAAGTTTTCAAATCTGCGAGATCTGCGAGTCGCTAAAATTACAAGCAAAGAAGTAACTTTTTCTCTTAAAGACGAGTTATTTACCTTTTTTCCGCAATTGTGTTGCCAGGAGCAGAGACCAATGGTTAAGAAAGGAGTATCCCAGAAGGTTTCGGTGCATTCAGTTTAAAAGTGACTCCGTAGTCCACAATCCATCAGTCCATAACTGGAGCTTTTCTGGCGGAAAGTTGAAGGGGGTCCGTGGACAGAACGTGTCCTGGGAACTTCTCCAAACTAAGAACTCTCCATGAGCTTACGGTGTCCGGTAGACAATTAGTGAACGTTTAAGTCTGTTGTTGTGAATTCCACAGACATTTGGCGATAGTTAAAGATCAAAACTTTAAACCACACTTGGTTTTAAATTATCATGATTAGGCGGCTTTGCGAAGATAGTATGCTGGTTTTAAATCCCAGATTCCAGCATAAGTGACCATAGCACAGTACAAAGTAATAAAATTATCAAAAATCAGAGTCAATCGACAAATGTTTTCTTCCTAACATCAGAAATTTCCTACGTTAAAACACAACAGACTCACCCAGACATACCATAGTTTCTGTTGGGCTGCATAGGTAAAATCAATAACATAAACCTTCATTAAATTACAAGCATCCGCGGTTCGGCCCCAGTACTCTCCCATCCTGCTCCATATCAAGAGGGGCTGATCCAGAGCTTCAGAAGAAAGATTCGAAAATTTTGCCTCCAACTTTAAAACCACTAAAGACCTCTTTCATAAATGCTGGGCATAGTTACTTTTCTTTTATATTTATGTACATAAACCTATCTGACCTCGACAACATGTTTAATCGAATTTGGTCGAAATTTCAGTCAGATCTTTATTTGCACGAACATAAAAGAGTAACAATCATGCCTGCCATTCTGAAGGAGATCTGTGGGGCGCGGAAGGGAGTGGTCAACGAAGGGACAAAAACTTTACGTGAACACCTTCCTATCAATTTGGTTCCTAATAACAGATCACGTTTGAGAATTTTTACTTTGAAAATTTTATTAATGTACATCTTATGCAATAATCACCTCTTCTCTCGACCAGTATTGGTAGTCAGTCAATCCAAACCAACGCAGTTCATTTTACTGATCTGTTCTCTTGGTCAAAATTACCTCATTACGAGCCCGTGCGGAATTTTACAACGTCCGAAGCTCTTTCAGAATACACCTTATTAACCTCAGGCCTGTAGTGATCTTGTGGTCGGCAACTTACTTCTCAGTCTTTTAGCCAAGGTACCTGGAAGGCAGAAATTTGAACTCTACTCGTGAAAAAAAGATCCCTGCGTTTTCCCTTGTCTATATGAGAAGGCATTGTCAATCAGCAGCCAAAACCTATCGAACTGACTCAAAAGCACTCACTTGGACAGACAGACAGGCCTAATAGCAATAATAAGAGGAATGTCACCTTCCCCTTCCCCGTCCCCTCACTCCGCCATCCAGGAGTCTTGGGAGACAACATTGAAGATGAAGAATAGGAAGAAATTCAACGTATTTATAAGTTCCCGTATTTTGCGGCTATTCATCCTGTCACCATAAAACCTCTTAAAGAGCGTTTTGAATGTGTGTGATTTCCACAGAAACGATCGCTTGTTTTCGGATCGTTTTGGCGTAGACAATGTACAAGCGGACAAAGATTCGTGAGCTTCCAAACGAATACTTAAAGCGTGGGCGCCCTTGTAGTGAAAGTGGGCCATTGTCAGTGCTCGCAAGAGTTTGAAAGGCATCAACATGTGGTCAAGTTTAACGCTTACGAAATCGCCGGATAACTCATAGGGTAAAGGAATACGTTGCAGCACCGCAAATGTTTTTGTTTTTTAATTGCTATGCTTCAATCCATCGTCTTTGTAAATGACAGCGCGGCTTTGTTCAAAATAACTATTTAAAACCCTTTGAATTGTTTTGACTGCGAACGCAAACGTATTTCCGGCCGTTGTTTATTGCCGTAGTGGGAACTGACCACTGACGCAGCAAAGATTTGATACTCATGTTCTTTGATTACCCTTTTTACTGAGTTTCTAGCGCCAAGAGTGAAGAATTGTAAGGTGTCTGCCGTTGTTTTAATTGATCCAAAGGAAAGATTATACTGTCTTATTAAGTTTAATCAGAAAAGATAAAAAGCCTCACTGCGTTAATATTGATAATTGTTACAGGGAGATAACATGCGAAAGGTCAGATTTCCTGACTGATTACTGCATTTTCGTTTAAAAAGTTCCATTTTGGCTGTCAAGGTAAGCAGCCGGCAATTGATTAGATTTTCATGTCTGTCCTTTGCCAACATAAGATCTCACTGTGTTGGGACGTTCTTTTGAAAGCGACATTCACATCCCGTGGTTTCTTTTTAGCAACGCAATTTTATGGCTGATTTACCTTGAACAAATAGGGAATAAATGCATGATATTTTTCTGCTTCTGTTTGGTCACGTTTCTTGACACAATTGATAACTGACGCGTGAATGCAGACCACACAGATATTAGAAGACATCTATTAAATTGATGCTTTGGTTATTAATACACTTGTCACCTCGTTACTTTAGTTTTGTTTTTCAAAACAGTTGAAAGTGATGAAATGAATTAGAGCATATCATGCGATGCTTTCCATGGAACCAATTTCAAACTTTCCACCTTTGTTCCAGTTCATTCCCATCTGAAGACTCTACAGAAGCCAGCCCTTGACGCATTGTTTGGGGCGGTTGTGTGACGTCATGTCCACCCTGCTCTCTTGACCTTTATCCATTGTTGATAAAAGTTTCATGTTACCACGGAACGCTATTGAGAACTGCAGCGGAGAACGTGGTCAAATGCTAACCACAGCGAGGACAACTGGGACACAAAAACAAACTTACATTCTCGATCATTCGATCAATAGATGGACTTTGTTATTAAGATGAAATTACTTTACGTTCTCATTGGACTTTCTATTACAAATTACACTTTGGGAAGGAGTACGCTGAAACACCTACATCAAAACCGCCAGCGAGAAGTTCAGCATAAAGGTGGGCTTATTTTGAATAAAACACGGAGGGCACATTAAACAACAAACATATGACAGACACACCGCTGAGATGGAGTTTTCATATTTAGCAACAAAATAGCTATAGTTAGTTGTACGGGTGTCTCACAATTTTTTTATTTTAGAAGTGCTGTAAAATTTGTAAGCGTAAACTAATTAAAACTAACATTTGTTAAAATTTCATTATGTTTAAGCATGCTATCAATTATGTAAACACATATTTGACCGCAGATTATTCAACAAAATTATACAGTGTCTATTATGAGTTATAGTGTTTTTATTGAGTTTATTCAGGAGAACAGCAAGTACATCTGTGATTTTGACCAACTAAAGATCAAATCACAAAAGTTATCGATTTCACACCTATGATGCCCAGTTTATTATCATCATTTGTTTCTTAGTAAAGCGCACCTTCATAAATAATTTTGGCTTTTGGTTGTATTTATCAATGACATAAACTGACGTCAATGTTGTGACGCTTTTGTTATCACAAACTTTCTTTGTTATCTGTTGTGATGATTACAGCTTTTTCATACTTTTTTGGGCTTGAATCGTCTGTTCCATTTTGATCTCTACAAATACTCGTGCTAGAAAGGGTAACCTTAACTCTTGGTATTGGTCCAACCTTTCCTTTTCTTCCTCAGTCAAGGCCACGATTCCATCCTTCACTTTTTTCCTTTCCTTCCTCCCTCCCTCTCTCTTATCCTTCCCGCCGCCCACCCGTTTTATTCCATCTGGTTAAACGGTCGGGCTTTACTGACTCGCTCCAACCATACTAATCCTCCTGAAGAGCTTTTGCCTGAGAGGCCTTAGTCAAAACTATAGCTTTTGCAATCACGTGTTTCCAGATTAATCACATTAGAGCTGCCCATGTGAGCAAGCCGGCCATTTCTTTACCTCATCGAATATTCAAACTTGCGCCAATATTAGGATACTTCCAGCTCTCTCTGAAAATTATTGGAAAGCCTTCAATTGAAACAGTTGTTATGTAGAATGTTACTTTACAGCAGTTTCATCAGCACGTTGCTTTTGAAATTTGTAATTAATCCAATTGGCGACCGTCATCACTGTGCATGATAATAACGAGACGAAAACGCAATTTAAAATGCTAAAATTAGCGTTTAATTGCAACGTGGCTGCTCTTTGGGAGACTGCGCTATGTCACCGATCTTCTGTGTATTTGAGAAAACATAATGTTACTTTTTTAAAAAAAGATACGTAGCAATGTATGCAGAAATGTAAAGTGGTTCTCTGTCCAAGGCAGCCGTCACAAGGAGAAGAGAATATTAGAGTCACTCTTGGGAAAAACCCAAACAGCAGAGCCTGTAAAGTACAAGAAGACCGCAAACATTGTCAGATGTAATCGATATTCACCTGTTTAATGTTGATAAAAATAGTGTTTGATCACCCTCAGGCCACCAAAACATTGCCCTTCATTCAATCATCTGGCATGGATTTTTCCAAAACCTGACACTGAATACCAAAAATTCTCTACTTAGCAAGAAGCAAAGCTATGCAATACCCAAAGCTAATGTGGAATAAGGGAAAGTTGTTCTTTTAAAGAGACGATCGCACTCATCTGAGTTTTTTTCTACTTTTTAGTAAAAGACGAAAGGATCTACGAGGGCGACATATTTTTGGATCGAAGCACTCAGTCCTTACTTCAGAGTCTGCGAAGGCGGCCAGTCCGGAGTGCCATTTCATCACCAAACAAAAAGTGGTCATCAAATGTTATACCTTACACCTTTGGGGGCGTTAGTGAGTAGTAATTAAAACAGTACAGCAAAAACGAGTGAAGCTCTTTAGTTCCGTAGATTTAAGGCTCTGTTGTGGTTATTCATACGGGCATGAATACAAAAAATGAGCTCTTGGGACAAGCAGCTTTTGGAAAGCTCAACACACACTAGAGCACCACGGACGTGATTGAAGCATCTCCATCTAAAAAATTTAGACCGATGTTTTCGCTTTTGTGAAAGCTATCCTCGTCACGCATTGCACTCGACATCAGAAATGACATCAGAAAACACTGCCCCATACGTAACCTAGGCAGTGATATAGATTAGCTTATATTTATTTCACTTGTTATTTCCTTTCGTTAAAGGCTCGCGAGTGAGGGAAGCTGTGGAACTTGCAATCAGAGACATTGAAGAGCACACGTGTATCAGATTTGTTACAAGGAAAAACGAAGAAGATTACATATATATTGTGTCACGTGGAAAATAGTAAGTTCCGATCAAGGGTAAAGATAGGAAAGGAGGAGAAAAATGTTGGTCCACAGGCGTCTCTGAGACCCTCTGTTCCAAGGCAAACAACCAGTCGAGCCTTCAAATGCCTGTCATACAACGAAGCACATTCCAGTTATATTATGCCTGCAGACGTGGCACCCTAAGAGTTACTATAAAAACCAAAAACTTCTTTCGATTCTTAAAACAAATTTGCTGTTGTTGGGTAGTACGATATAGGAACAAGTAACCCTCAGGATATAGACCCCTCAGCTCAAAGTTTTCTCCAGTCGCTGTTTGACATTATCTGTTTATTGACTCATAGTTGCTGGTCTTCGATCGGACGCAGCGGCGGCAAACAGCGATTATCTTTAGGAAAAGGTTGTGAGCGAAAGGGAACCGCTATACACGAGTTTATGCACGCACTGGGTTTCTTTCATGAACAGTCCCGCCTGGACAGAGATAAATATGTCACAATATACTGGAACAATATTGAGAAAGGTATGCTATTCAAATTATAACGAGACAAAATCGTTGAATAAAAGAGGAAAAAGATAAAAAACAGAGAGATAATATCAACTTTGATTGATAATCCGGTAGAATAGTTGGATAGTTTCTCTCAAAAATTTTGTTTGGCCGTCTGCTAATAAATTCCTCACCTGAATGTGCCAAAATAATACAGACAAATGCACTTTCTCAGTGTTTGAAATGTCGAAATGAAAAACATTGAACATCATCTATAAGAGCCCAGGAGCATAACAAAGATAGCTTTCCCATGTATAACTTTAGCTATAGATTACTTCAATGGAAAAGCTGTAGATTACTTCAATGGAAAACGTGCCAATTTCGCAACTGATATAATCTGCAGGAAAAACCATACTTGACCAATTTTTCGCTTTTCAGGCCGACTACACATTGCACCGCTGATATGTCTCTCCTGCCACAGTTGCAAATTAAACTATTCTCGAAAATTTTGGGTAATACAATGATATCAATATCTTTATTTCTGTGGCACTCATTCACAAGAGCTCATAGCTAAGCCCATCCCCTATCTATGTATAAATTAAATCAGTGAGTTTCACTATTTGACCTCGACTTTTCTTCAAACACTGTCAGATCAGCAATTTAACTTTCAAAAATACAGTCATGGAGACGCAGATCCCTTGGACCTTCCTTACGATTATGGATCCGTAATGCACTATCGAAAATATGCCTTCACTGGGAATGGATTTCCGACGGTCGTTCCAAAGGACAAGTGGGCTACCATTGGTCAAAGGAAGGGCCTTAGTGAAATAGACATCAAGAAGATCAATAAATTTTATAACTGCTCCGCGTACACCACAGCAAGTCCAACACCAAAAGCCACAGCCAAACCAACAGGTTAGAAATAGCGGGGTTTTATGCTTTTCTCTGTGCTAAGAGCATGATGTATAACAATACGAGAAGTAAGTGAAACGGGGAAAAACTGCGAGCAATAAGTGCCAACACACCAGAGAAATCCCTGCATCCCTATTCATTCCTTATAGATAATTACTCTTATTTTCAAATTCTGCCATTTGGTTAATTCCTTATAAATCACTATTTTCCGCAGTCGTCCGATTTTGTAAAACACTCGTATGATTACAAACCGAATTGGACTACATTCAGTCCTATTACCATAATTTATTAACTCGTAAAGTAATTATTTAGGTCTATATAAGTATAGGTATCAAATACCAAAACAAAATTCACCAAAGTGATTAGTTTACATCTGCCAGATTTGAGCACTTAATACCAAAAAGCCTGATTTGAGCACTAAAAGGACAGTGTATACATCATGCTTGTAATGGGGCCAGTGTAATTGCACAATATGCATTCGTGTGGCATGTCATATGCGCGCGCTGTTGTCGCATTTTTCGCCGAGTTAATTGTAGTTTTCTATTTTTTTTTTCTGTAAAAAAGGATGATTAGATATTTTTTCTTCCTCTCAAATTTTTTCATAGTTTTGATTGATTGGTGACCGGACGTCGTGTCGTCCAATTCTGTCTGTAATCATAGTCGTGATTAACAAATCGGACTCCCCCTTTTGCGGTCGTATGATTTTGTTTCTCACTCGAATTATTAAAGAACGAATTGGACTCCACTCAGTCCTACTATTATTACGGACCAAATGTTTGAGAGTGCGCACCCCGGGGCGTGCGTGGTTTTTTTTTTTTTTTTTTTTTTTTTTTTTTTTTTTTTTAACTCCAACAAGGTGAATTAATTTATAATTTGTGTGCTTTGTCATCAGACCCTCCCATCCGGCGCCATTGCAGGAACAGGAACATGTACTGCCAAAGATGGGCGTCAGTGGGTTACTGTTTTCACCGGAACATAAGATACAGGAAATACATGCAAATCAGCTGCAGAAAAAGCTGTAACTTGTGCTAAGGTTGTGTGATTCTGGCAGCTTTCAATAAGATTTATCCAGTTGTCATCCTTTTTGCAACTGTTCTGCAAAAAGGTGATCTAACATATGTTACCTGAAAGCTGCTAACCACAAATTCATGGCACAAATCGAGCACAGGATTATATATTATAAAAACGGGAAATTTGTTCAATATTTATTAAATATAGTATTCAGTTTACGAGTCACTAAAGTTTGAAATCAGCCTACCTGATTCATTTCTTTGGGAGGACCAGGTAGAGACGTTGATGGGGAACCATTTATTTGTAATGGGCTTAATCTAAAAGAGAAATTAAAAAAAAAGATTTATCTTGTCTGTTTGTGTTATCCCTAAGTTTAAGTATTACAGTACCACCCTCGTCTATTGCAGCATTAAACGCTCTTAACGCGCGTTAATTTGTCGCGCTCTACATGCGCGAAACACGCACACTGCGCGTCAGTACACGCACCTGCGTGTAATAAGAAAATGCAACCAACTGACTGTAAAATGCGAGTGAACTACACAAAATCAATTATTGTAGGTCGGTATTATTGGGTAGGTGAAAATTGCGAAAGATATCTAACCAGTCTTAAGGGCAAAAGGAAATGTCACGTTATGCCAGGCACGTATTTTTTTAAAAGTATTTGAAAGTTTTCAGTGTATGAATTTTAGTTCACAAAGGGTATCTCCTCCCCATTAGCCTAAGTTTATTCTGTGTGAATTCACTAACAATTTAATTGACCAATTCATACTAAGTTATCTCCTTATCCTTCTTGGTTTATTTTTTGCTGTAACGTACATGACGTATTGTACCCAGAATACATCACCTCCCAAGATAGAGGGAGCCTGGAACTCAACTAAAGATCACTGTCGCTGATCTTCAATTTTCCTGTGCGAAACAGAGTGCAGATAGAAACCCTCAAATAATTCCAATTTTGCGACAGATATGGCTGCTCAAGCATCAGAAGTCGATAAAAGAAGCAGTTCTGCATCCGATATGTCAAATGTACAAATTGACGAAGAAGTGAGTGTACCAGATGTCGAAGTGAAGCATTCTCCATTTCAGTCGCAACCCAACCTTCGAACCGGCGTGCTAACCAGTGAAGAAGTGAAAGAACTCGGTGATAAAATGAGGAAAGAACAGGCCAAGAAGTATTTTTCACTCAGGGTATGTACATATTATGTGTGAAAAATTCTTCACACAAGTATCGTTTTCGAAGATTTTGAGAGAAGTTTGCACGTAGGCAAATTAAAGGTGTGTTTCAAGTCCATGCGCGAAACAGCTTTCTGCAGCTTTTGGTTGCACGACTTATATCCAGGCTTTTGTTGCACCAAAATTCCCATAAAAGCACTTTGTGGAGTTCATCTTACGCTCATTTGATTGAGAGATGTTTGCAGATTATCCATTGCTTTTCTAGTTGGCAGATTTGTCGCTAAAGTAGCAAGTTCTCGGCGTAGTTATGTGCATGTTTGGAAGACACATAATCGTGAATCGGTCTGCGTATTTTTTGAAATGATCACATGACTGATCTGACTTCTTACATTTTGTACCTTGCCCACTTTGAAAAGCATCTTAGTATGTTTAAATGTTTAGATCCTGACTCTTTTTTGAACTTGGATAATTTCTCAGCAATTGAATTGTTGCTTGTTTTGCTTGTTTTGCTCGCAGTTATGTCATTATTTATTTATAACAATGATAAATGATGTTACCGTCCATTTATGAAAGATCAGGTATAAAAATAATTTTATCGGAGGCAAATTATGGTGGTTGATGGATGTTTTTATTTACTTTTTAAATTGCCATGATTTTACAAGTACAGCCCTTAATAATAAATTTTTGAAGCACCATGATGAGGATTGGTGTCATCTTGTAGCAAATCTCTGGTATTTTTTACAGTAAAACAATTTTTATTTCTGGTCCAAGTGAAGTTTTGTCACAATGAAATGCCTGTTATCTCATGATTTTTAACAAAACATAGAAAAATGACTTGAATTATGAAAGGTGTTTTTACATTTAGCTGGGGACAGAAAATAAGTTGTGAGTCCCTACGGAGAAGTGAAGGTTAGATGGTCAGATTTTGGGCTTTGATGCTCTGCCACTGAGCTTCAGAGATTGTGCAGTGAGCTGGGTCATAAAGTTCACATGTAATAGGCATCCTGCATACAGCTTGGATCAAGCATTCTTTGATTAAGTTCCTTTCCCTGCATTGATTTACAACTGTAGTTCCCTTTGGTGGGCATTTTAGTCTCCTTACATCAGCATGAAATTTTATTTACTAAACTAACTGTTACCTATTTGTGGAATTCTAGGAAGGGGCATTTGCTAATGCTGTGGAGGAGTGCAAGGCCTCTTTGGATGCAAATGATGGAGAACTCCTCAGTTCATGGCTATTGAGCGAGTAAGTCATTGTAATTTAACCCTTTACTCCCCAACATTAGTATCTATGTTCTCCCTGTTCTTCTTATTAAACTTTTTATGGTGTTATACCAAGGTAGATTTGTGTGATAAAAAATTCCTCTTAAGTCTGCAGTCCATCTGATAATACACTCTTGTAATTACACCAGACAATGCAATTCTTTTTATATACCCCCTTGTAGAACAAATACAATATGTATCAGTCAGTTTGCATTGTTTCCAAGGATCTAAATTTTTCAATTTTCTCAAATCCAAAATGTTGGCACACCCTGTTTAAGTCTAAATTGCAAACATTACTCCTAAGTTGACACCCTTCTTATTCTTCTTTATTTATTTGTTTATTTATTTATTGATTTTTTTATTATTTTTTCTTACTTTTCTCATGCTGCTTAAGTATATGTTTGTTTGAGTGCCTGCTATTGTTGTTGTTGTTTTATGTATGTTTTGTGAGCTTGGACGTTGCATATCATCCATCCTAGTGTCCGCTTTGTATCACATTAAAGATCTTTTCCCTAATTTAATTTCTAGAACAACGACAGCGTAAAAAAAGGTTTTGTTTGTCTTTGAAAATAGTGACCAACTTTTTCTGAATTGGCTACCACTTTGAAGAATTTAGGAGCCAAGTGACTATCCAAAAAAAAAAAATTAATTTCATGCCCTGATAAGCCTCTTGGTTTCCCTTGGGGTTTCCTCACCACGTGTTAAATCTTCAGCCATATCATATTGATGTATATGTAATTCCTTTTTTATTTCTACTGATGTTTCTTAATTACAAAATGGCAAAATAAAAAAATAAACAAACAAAAAAAAAAAACGAATGCTCTTCTTTAGATGTAGTTTATTACATGTAGCAGTAAATTTGTATCTACAATAGGAGTAATTGAAGTGATCTGTTGCATACATGTATTTGGAGTCAACACATTATTGCATATGAAAAAAAAATTATGAATTATATTAAGTACAACTGTGTATTACTAGTTGTTTTTGGTTCTATATAACTAAGCAGTGTGTTTCCACTTTCCCTTTTTTTTTTTTAATTTCTAACATAACAGTTCTCAGTAAACTAAAAACCAATTGATTTCTATGATCTATTGCAATAATTAATAATTATTGCCCAGAAATGTAGGAATTCCATTCAAAGAGGTCACATTTTAATTTTCTTGGGAGAGCACACCCCTCTAGACCCCTTCCATGTCGCATTTACTTGGCATCCTCCGCACTATTTACTTACTTTCCACATACCCCTGAAATTTTCCTTCTTTCTCTAATCCATGTTAAAAAGCCTGAGAAATTTTCTTCCAGTCTTATTTTAATGAAAAACTTGGGTTATTGACTGTTGAATTCTTTAACTGAGGGGAAAAAAGCAGGCTTTCCAATCCAAATGTCAACCTTGATCCTGAAGATGTCATTTTTTATTTAGTGCCACTCACAAGACAGAGAATTCCTTATTATTACACTGTTTGTAACAAAGTTCAGTTTGGTTGAATGCCATCTTAAAAAAATTCTCAGTTATCGTTAGGTGAAATGCCAGAGAGAGAGACTTTTTAAATGAAAATAAAATGTAAAAAATAGTAAAGGGAAGGATAACCAAAACAAAGAAAAACCAATATAGATTAAATCAGGGTAACAGAATTGGGTTGTTTTGTTTGTTGTAATAACATTGGTGATTTTGTTTATAGAATTGACCACTGGGATCTTGAGAAAGAAAGAATTGTCTTAATCACAAAGAAGAGCCTTTGTCTTGTCAAGTACAATTTTATTGGACTGAAAGTTAATGAGATGAGGAAGATTCCATTGATAAGATGTGATAAGATTCAGATCGGCAGATTTGTGTATCCAAAGACCACAATGATGATGTAAGTACATATCATTTGTTTACATGTTATGATCGTGTAGAGTTGGTAACTGTATGAAATGCAAATTTACTTATCAATGTGTTTGAATCTCTGTTTTATGGATATTCTTTAACTCTCTTGCTCACAACTTTTAAATCTGTATTCTCTGCACTGTCTTCCATACACAAGTACATGTCTTATAGTTTATCACAAGAATTTAGTTTTCAATTTAAAAATATTCTATAGTTGATATTTTTCTTTGCACCACCCTCTTGAAAAGGTGCTAATGAAAACATGTAAAGAAGAACTTTGGGTCTCCTGGGAGTGTAGGGGCTAATGAAAGAAAATTTTATCAAGAAATATTCGCATGAATTGGAATCGTTCAGAGGGGGAGGGTGAAAAAATTCCACTACAGTGAAAGGTGCTAAAGAATGGACAGGTCGGCATTTTATTCTGACTGGAATAGCTCCCAGGCATATCCTGGTTTCTGTAGTATGATGTTGGTATTCGTGTATACTCCTAGGGGGAGGGGGATGCTGAATAACTATTGGGTCACTGCTGGGGTAGAGCTTCTCTTAATGCAGGTGCCTTCCAATAACTGAAACCTTTCTAAAAAAACTGTAAAAGGCTCGAGGTAGTTGAGGTCAGAACCATTGAAAGTTGAGAGCGAATTACATGCAATAATTGGGAAAAGTGAAATATTAAATTCTATTCTCACATTGTACATTTTGATAAACTGAGTTTCATTTTACATTAAGAACTTGAGGAGTAAAGCTAAAAAGACACAAGCCAATTTAGTCAAGGTTATCCTTGTCCAGCAGAACCTGATGGGGACTGTTCGTTGCCTTTTGTAATGCAAAAACAAATACGAAGTAGACAAATAATACTCCGCATGTTCAACTTACATTCAACATTTTGTACCGTAGTACTGTCGTTGTGACTTGTCACATATACAGTAGTAATATTGACTGGAAGGGAAACGAGAATTGCCTTGGGCTAGTAAAAAAGTTCACTTAGAATCACTAAGAAAGTAATTCGTCATAATAAATGTTTCAAAGAATTCTAAGGAGGAGGGGGGGGGGGGGTACTCTTTGATTCAAATTAGCCCAAGGCATGATTTACAACCGGTAGCAAAGGTACGAGTGATCGGGAGATGAGGTACACTGCATTATGACCTGTTGACGCTTCCCGTGTCATTCGCTTCCACGAAAAGTTGACGATCAAAATGACAATGTTACGCTTAAGCTTAGTGTCAGTTTCCCCCCGTATATTTTCAGTCCACGTCACTTCCAAACTGGTTTACGCGTCTACTTTGGCAAAAACACAATACCCAGCTTTCTCCAGAACTGGAATCCATGGTCACACGAGGTGCCCTTTGTCACTTTCTGCTGGCACAAAGGGAATGATGTCGTAAGTGATCTGCCCCCGCATATGCAGCTTGATCCGTTTCAGGAGTCTCTAATCCAGGCCATTACCGATTCCCACAATACCCTTCAGGAGGGTGTGGCACAAGACTCTCTCGAGATTGAGCATAACGAGCCTATCATGATTGAAGTGTATTGTGGGATTTCATCCATATTTCACAACTACGGCATCCTTGGTTTCAATCGTGATCGCGGAAAGTTTGGATTTTAGGACACTTTGACTCTAATAGCTGTGAATAGTATTGGTTCTTAATAGTAGATCATTTGTTTGAACCGTGGAATTTCCCTCTCATGCTGCAAATATGTTATAGCAAACCAGTTAAAACCTGGTTTTGTCAGGAAGTCCTATTTATTTTCTCTAAATTTTAACAAATCGTGATAATGAAGAATTTAGATATATGAAAATTCACATATTTGCTACACTAATTTCAAATCGTGATAATGTTGAGGTGAAGTACATAGCGCAGGAACTTGACTTAGGCTTCTCGGTAAGAATCAGGTCAACAGGGCGGGTTCGCTATCTTAGTTGTTCCGGTAGGTTCGTGTGGGTAGACGGGCTGTCCGGCTGATCGAAATTTCGGAAATAGGCCAGAAATTTCCAACAGGTATACTCCAGTAAGGTTACTGAGGTAAGCCTCAAACATCGTCATTTGTCCCTCACGGCCACCTAGCTGTACCTTCCCATTTGAACAGGTGACAAAATTTATTCCGTTTGTCTGGCCAGCCCGGTTTTCTAGGCTCACCTGAAGAGGCATTGAGAAGGACATCAAACGTCTTTACAGACTGGTAGCATAGGCTATGTCTTACTGCATGAAGAGCCAACAGACCACTGCTTTTGCTGCATGAGCGCGAAGGACTTCGATAGTTCTCTTGATGATGATGATAATAGTAATAATAATAATAATAATAATAATAATAATGCAATAAGCAAAGCGAAGATTGGAACTGTTATATTCTTGAGAAATATCTGTGTATACTAAATATTAATTAATTAACGATTCAAGATGTTTGATGATTGTATAATTTTAAACTCGTGTGAGTAGTAGATTTTCGCGAGTTGTAAATATGGTTTTATTTACCCCTGTTGAGGTAAATATTCTTAATGTTTTAACTGAAATAGTTTAATAAACCACAATAACATCGAGAACGTCTTAACTGGCCGGCTTAATTCTTCTCCTTTACACGTGACATGGGTTCCACTCTGGAAGTTGTCAGCAGTCCATCGTTCCACGCAATGCGCTCGTGTTTTAGGTTTTGTTTTTGGAATGCATTGCATCCCTTAGGCCACAAGTCACTACCGCTTTTCTTATCTGTCAGGGATTGTTGAATGCACACATGAACCGAGAAATACTGGAACTTTGCACAAGGAATCGAAAGTTCAGGAAAATGCGAGAACTAATATTTTTAACCGGTAGTTCTTAAGTGGTGAGATAGAGTACAACTTTGTGAGGCAGTCAAAGCATTGCTAGATATTCACGCGCATATATTTTTCCCTTCATAGGGTCACTGGTTATGCGGAAAACAGCCCACGTAGCAAACAGTCGGGCATGCGAATTTTCTTTTCCCGTGTGGAACCCGGCTTCTTTCAGCTGTGGAACCCATGGTCTGACATGCCCTACTTCACTTTGACGAGTCACGTTCAAAGCATGCTCCAGGACTCCCCCCCAGATCGTTCGCAGCACGAACTGTTCTTCAAAGCTCTCGAGAAGGCCATTACTGAGGCTAGAGAAGCCGATCCCCACCAAGAAAGACTCAACAATTTTGAAGTTGTTGATGAAGACCTACAGATTAACGTTTATTTGGGCCTCGGTGCTATGATTTATAATCAGAGCGGTCTGGGATTTTGCAAAGACCGTGGCAATGTGTTCTTCTGATCGTTATACTACTTGATTAAGAAACAATTTCTCCTTCCTTGTGTCTTTCACTGATAATTATTCTTTTTGGGAACACTTCCAGTTTGCCACAAACTATTTTAAATGACTTTTTTCGAAAACCATAAAGAAGATTTTATGCAGCATTTCAAACGATTAATAATTCGTTGATGATCTGGCCTGGTAGTGTGGTGAGGAAAAGGCGTTAAGGTTCCAACAGGTTTTCAATAATGGTGATGTCGGAGAGAGTGAATTAGTTGATTGGCGTAGTGCAAAATAGTTGCATAAATAAATAAATTTATAAAAGTATCAGTAGGTGCCTCAGGGAGGTACAAATTTGAGAAAACTAGATATCCTAAAGATCACCAAGGACGTAATAACAAGCTAAGAAAGTGCCTGGTTTCTGCTGAACGAACCGATGAGATCATGAGACGGTGGACTTTTCACGTCTGTGTGAGGATTTTGTATAACTCTACATCAGAGGAATCTTTCTAAGGGATATGTTGTTAAATCTATAATAAAGGTGTTAAGTTGTATACGATAATGTAAATGGCAAGGATTTAGAGAGAAATAGATACAAGATAATGTAATCGGATGTTTCTCTTTTGTATAATTTTTTTTTGTTGTCCTCGTCGTCTTTGTTGTTGTTGTCCTTTGAAAAAAAAAAATACGAGATAGTTGTCTCAGTCAGGTAATTTGTACCTTTAACATGTGCAAATGAAACAAGCAGAAAAGGCATCGATTTTCTTCCAAAGTTAAATCACGCAATATCTTGAAGTTGAACAAAAATTGCTAGATTTTTCACTTATTTAACGGTTAGTGCTGACAGCAGAGATTTCATTATAGCGATATGGTTAATTTAACAACTTAGAATAACAAAGGTGTATCAATTCCCCTAGATGAAAGCAGCACTGAACTTTTTCAATTATTAACGATTTTGTTTGCTGGTTCAATGCATTTTCGTCTTTTAAGACGGAGGGGGCTGCACGGGATATTGGATCACCCTTTTCGCAGCCCTCTTCTTCTCGAGAGCTTTCCACGTAAACCCTGTTGCAAAGCAATTAGTTCGCGAATCGTTGTGTACTGATCATGTTAATTCACGAGATGCGACTTCAACAAGTCTCGAGCAGTATTCCATTGAAATATTTGAGATTGATGGTTATGGATATGTTTTCAACAGTTAATCAAACAAAGTCACACATGACGCGTGCAAATGAGGACACCGCATGTAATCCGCAGTCTAATCGAGTTGCTGCTGATGGTCAGTGCTGCTGTATCGGCTGAGGCGAAATATTATTCAAACAGCACTGTCGTCGTGTCTACTCGCCAAGAGCGACCACGAGCTTTTTCAACAGAGGCAAAGTAGTTGTTGTCGAACAGTTCCTGAGACAACGTTCTCCACCATGCAAGAAGAATTACTCTTTTTCGTATAGTTTCCAGGATGATTACTACTCTTTTTTTCATTTCTTGATAATACTTCTTATTCAAGAACATCAAGAAATCGCTTGGTGGCCGTTTTTTTATTTGATTGCTCTCTTTTTTTTCAAAGGAAGGGCTTCAGTATTACAATCACTTCCCAGTGAGTACTTAAAGAAGGATATAGTACAATAATTGACCAATCGGAACGCTTTAATCTCTACAATCAACTGGGTAGTTAACAATATGCATCCACAAAGTCTCATTCCACGTTTGGAGGCTTTACTTGAGAGGAACTCCATTCCAATTTACAGTGTGGGTTGCACTGATAAATAGAAACAGGTAATTTGTGCTTACAGAATCATACAAGAGACAGTCATATACTCTTCAACAATACTTTTCCGTTGTTGTTGACATGTAGTTGTATGTTACTGCATGCCAGTGCTGAATGTCTTGTCTGGTGCGCTGCCAGAATTCTTGATGGCTTACGAAGGGAGAAGTCTTCCACCCATTGAAATGTTTAATCATGACACTGCATTTACATGGAGAGCGTCGTAAGACTACAACGTAATGTTGTATTCTTTTCAGGTTTTTATAGAGAGAATTCCTCAACCGAGGTGGAATTATGGCGTTGTCTTGACCTTGTGGCGGAGCTTATGACAAAGGCTGCATTACTAGACTGACCGAGGGGCATCACGGTATTTCTGTTCCTGTATCGACGCCATAGTTTCAACAGGCTTTCGCGAAAGTTTTTGTATGCGAAAAAATAAATGACTGGGTTATAGATGTTGGATGTCTTGGCGAACATCGCTGGGAAAGCAGCAGTAATAAGCGAAAAGTCGGTCGAAAGGAAGGCTGCGTAGAAGGAAACGACTGCGTACGGAGTCCATGCAGCGAAGAATCCAATGAACATAAGCAAGCCAATCTTGGCCATTTTCCACGCTGCTTTGATGGTTTCCAAGGTAGCAGCTGCGTTAACTCCCCAGATTTTTTGAGCGTTTTTTGTCATGTATCGAACGTTTACGAACATGAGTGTGTAAGAGACTAGGATGACGCCGAGTGGAATGATGTAGAAAAACGCAAAAAGGCAGATGACGAAGAAGGTGTCGCCTTGTTTGGCCGATTGCCATCGTAAGGAGCAAGCAATTCTCCCGGCCTCAGGGACGTACGCAGACCAGCCAAACAAAGGGAAAAGACTCCACATAAGGGAAAAACCCCATAGTATCAGAACCACTGTTACCATGCGACCCATGCTGTGTTGCGATTCCATTGGCCGAGAGAGTACGAAATATCGATCCAATGCATATGCTGCGTGATGCAACATGGTTCCAAGGCCTAAGAAAGTTGACACGAAAGCATAAAATGTGCAGGTAGTGTCAGTGAACCATGCAGACTCCGACGCATTTGCGGCTGCTCCCAGGGGATTTATCATAACTCCCATCAGCCAATCAGAAGTAGCTATGCTTATGATGAGAACGTTGGCTGGCAAAACAAGGGAACGGTCCATAATAAACGTCAAAAGGACTATGGAATTGAAGAAGATTGCAGCGATGGCCAACACGATGTAAACAAAGGCTAAGACGTGGTAAGTGCTCGGACTGAGAAGTTCTTCAGCCATCTTTGAATCCTCAACTGTCGCGTTATGTAACGTTTTTACCACCTTAATGTCTCTGGCCTTCAATTCTAAAATAAAAAAAAATTGTTTGCCTATGTCTCTATTTAAAGTGTTGAATGGAAGAGTTAAAGAGCACAACTAAGTGGCTGTCTCAAGTACGACTATTATTTCTGTTTACTAAGCCAGTCTATCAAGTACATACCAAACCCCCTAGAGCGGTAACTTAAATAACACGTACGCTAAAATTCTGAAAAATAGTAGTATTGTTCTCCCTATGGGATTTCTGAAAGATATTCTTATTAATTCTATGAAATTACCAAAGTTGACGAAAAAACAGTGTTTTATCAACCAGAGCAGTGGGAATAACAAAAACATGACTAATTAAAGCAAGCCCGCCCTTTAGTTCTCAGTTGTGGCATTAGATTGAGATTCTTCTTCACTGGGTTTATATTATAAAATGGTTTACTACCTGAGAACAAATATATCGTCGCTTTTGACCATTAGATTGTAAACTATTTAACCTGCGTTTTATACATTAGCATACAAACTCAAATTATTTTGAACTAAGTCACGATTAAGTGCCTGACTTCAAAGTGAACGTGTGTGATCGATTTAATCCGTCAGTCTTTAGATTTCCATCTTCATGGGTTCTCGTAAGAAACTGGGCAACTCAACCTTTGGATGGAAACTTTGTAAGTCACAATTACATCATATTTCTGATTAACATCAAAGGCAAAACTCCTATCATTTAAAGTAAGTCGAATCAGAACAAAGGTATAGATCCGTAGATGTTGTTCCTATTTTGCAAATGCCGCAAAAGTGATATTCCGCGTAAGAAAAACACATGTTGCATTAACAGACAAAACTCTTTTCAGTCGATGAGCTGAGTAAAATAAATTATTTGAAGAGATCTCTCAAGGTGACGTTTTTCAGAGGTTAAACGACAGGGGACTAATTTTCCTTCACGTGAAAACAGAAAAGCTAAAGTGTTAAACAAAAAGCCTCCGGCTTTGATGGGCAAATCGAAGCTCGTTGTGAATATTCTGCTGCCTCATCATTTGGCTATCCTCAAATTATTCCCTTATGTCTCTCTCGTCTTTCAGGTTTTTTTCGGTTTCTGTTATTGTTGTTGTTTTTTTCTTTCCACCTTTTTTGCCAAAATTTAATTATCAAGTTTTAAGTGCACAGAAAAAAACAAATTATGCTAAAAGTGGCGATGAGGCCCACAGGAAACAACAGGGCTTTTACACTATTGGCACCCTCCAACAAATATTATACTCGTAGTCTTGAGGTAGAATAGTGACGAATAAACAGCAAAGCAGACTTTGAAAATGCTATTTTAAAACTGAATAGTATAATATAAAGCATAATAAGTCTCAAAAGAGGTAAACATCGAAGAGAAAAGGAGATATATATATATATATAATCATACTGATATACAATTATGCAAGTTATGCTAGGTTTACAATGGTTGATGTCGGACAAAAGTGGAACGACTGCCTGCTATTCCTTCTCCCTTTTAACTTATGTGTATTTTAAATATTGTAATTAGACATTGTAAGCGAAAAGCCCGAGTTGGGAGTTACAATAAACGTATGTATGTATGTAATGCAGGCTTATTTCTTCTCCTGAGAAACAAACAAATCAAATTTTAAACGATGAAAACGAGTGAACATTGTGATGTAAAGAAAATTAATAAGCAAATTGGTTTTAATCGTGCAAGACTTAAAGTCAAAGAGAAGCTTCTATTTCTTTATGTTATCTTAAAATTATACGTAAATAACTTTCTTGTCTTCGGAAAGTGAACTACAAACAAAAAGAAAACTGACGCTGAATCTGCAGGAAATTGACTCACCAGTTGGACTTCAGACCATCACGTCTTAAATTGGTTGGCAACTTTTTTCGACATTAAAAGGATATGAAGTTATTTATGTTTAACATTCAATTTAAACAAAGTTTTAAAATGCTTTTTAAAAATCACTACTTGTAAAAATAGACGCACTTCTGCGTTTTTTTTCAAGCGTTTGAAAGGCATCAAGGCACACTCATCATTCGCTTATAACACTCATCTCACTTGAAATTTCATATGCACGTGAAATTTTGTCATACTGCGTGGGGCTTGTGAAATATGTCATCCCAAAACAAAAGTATTTCCACTTCCTTTTCTACCTATTCTTGAAGTCTACATGAAAAAAAACTTGGACTCATTCGTGCGATTAGTTCCTGAAAACGAAGGAACCCAAATTTAATACCTACGTCTTCTACGGAACGACAGAGTGATAATTAATAATTATTCACCGAAGTGGAGGCGAACATTAGTTTGTAAGCATTCCCGAACTAGCCAATCAGCGCGCTCGGAAAACACTTTTTACCTGTGTGGTACATACTAATGGAATATAATAGAACTTTCAGCAAGCAATACTTCTGTTCTGGATAAGCAATTATAGCCCATTTGCTAGTTGAAACCTCATCAAAGTAATTCCTTACGAGGGGGATGAGAAAAATGTCTCTCAAAAGCTGGATCATCAAACCATTTTCGGCAAAAACCACGAAATGATGGAACGGAAGTATTCATTGTCATCCTTCGGACATAATAATACGGTGTGCCAATCTGGATGATCTTATAAGAGTTCTAAATAACATTTGGCAACTAAACAGCTAATAACGAGTGTTCACTTCTTTTAAGAATATGACATAAAATAAGATAGAAAATCTATATATTTATATGAAAATATTGGAAATTTAATTCCTGATACCTGATTCTGATGGTGCTCGTTTCTCAGGGAGCTTAAGCAAAGTAAAACTACGAAAGAAACGAAACTTAAGTAAAACAAGGGATATCAATAGCAGAATAACAGCCCTTAACGTGTGTTTTCAAATCTTGCTTCCGAACAGACTTCGTAAAACAACGACCTGAAATCACCCAAATTTGCATGGTTCGAAAACAGGAACCACGAAGGCAAATCATTTACTTGTCCACTCTGAAATCGAAGACACTTAAAACGTCACAGTTAAGAAAAGGTCTGGCGCCATTAAAAAAAAAGAGCGAGCTACTGAACATATTTTTTAAAAACATTGTAGAAATTCCTCTTCCGATCAAAAGGCTAAAGTGCAAAGTCCATCGATGAGATATGAAACATGCAACAGTTAAAATACGTTTGGCTGTGAAAATAAAAGCTTCCAAGAGTTCATAAACTCCAAACCATTCAAGTAACAAGTTTGCAAAAAGCTCTAAACGCAAAACTAAACTCCGGAAGTGTCCACGTCAACCTCAGTGTCAAGTTCAAGGTTTCTACACACGATTGGTTACTTGACCAGATAACGTGCGTCGCGCGTGCATAAAAAGAGAAATAAAGACGCGGGGGAAGTATAGGAAATAATTGAAATTGGAAAAACGATACCTTCACGAAAACTGAAGAATGTTTCCAATCAAGTGTAAGTTTATATTGTGATCAATGTTTTCCTCGGCTGCGGCGTCTGATTGCTTAAGGGGATTATAGATGTTATTTTCTGTTTCGAATGCAAAACAACTGTGGACCATAGTGTGAAACTGAATCATCCATACAGCCTAAAATTGACCAATCAGATCGTCTGTCATACAGCGTAAGATTGACTCATCAGACTGCACATGAAATCTCAGTAATTTTAAGTGTGTTCTTATTTCAAATAGTACCTGCAGCCGAAAAGGAGTCACATCTCTCTCCTCAAAATGATCTACATAAATCACAAGAAACTTCATTTCTGCTAATGTTCATCAAGAACAGAGCTCCTATTCTTAAAAACCAACATTAAGAGAGATTAGTTTTTAGCCACGCGTTGAAACTACGTCAAGATGACCTGACGCTTCCTTAAAGAAAAGAAAAGGAGAATTCACGAAAATGGAAACGTGAGAAAAATTGGAAGCGTCTGTCAATACTGACAAATAACTTGAAATTGAGACTTTTAAAGGTTCGTATAATTTCATTTAACGTTCAAATTATAGTGGCTTGCCAGCTTAAGCCTACGCAGAGGTTTACCCAGCTTAAAATAAGCCAAACGAACTAAAAGATACAGAAAAGAAAAGTCGTGCACAACTGCCTTAAAAGATGTAGATTAATTGGTGCCGATGTGATGACTTTTCATGATAAATTTTACATCAATATCTGCGATTTTTTGTGATGGTAAAAATAAAAACTTTTATAGTCGAGCTACATATATATTACAAATATTGCTACCCGATCAAGAAAAAAATCGAAATTGTAACCTTTCCTTGATTTTTTTGCGACAATGAAGTCAAACATATCTTTTTTTTAATCCTGTCGTGCGGAGATTTAGAAGAAGATTAACATCGCTGCTTTTCTTGCGCAGAATTTGAAAAGCGCTCCCCTAGAAGAGATTTAAATATTCTCCTAAAACACATTTGAAATCATAATGATTTAAAAGCATGAGTAGAGGAGAATATCCTACCAAGAAAATCGTGTCAAAATTCACAAGCTGAGTTGAGAACCACCAGTGCTTTTTACTCCGGCTGAGAACGATTGCGACACAATTTAAGACCGACGCACTCAAAAATAAAATTACAGTGGAATTGCATCTTGCAGAAAATACCATAATATACTGTTTTCTTTCAATGAAAGATTTATCTGTCTGATTCAGATAATAACAGCAATTGTGTTCTAGATGGAAACATTACAGTGATTTGCTATGTTGGTACGTAGATGAAAATATTCGGTCATTGTTTATTTTGGCCTATTTGGAAAACCTTATTGAACGCGGCTTTCTGTGTAGAATTTTGAATATATTTCTATGGAAAATTGCATTATCAAAAGCAGTTTACTGGAGTGTAATGGCATTGAAATTTAATCATGACAAAGGGAGCTTTACAACCCATTTTTCATGAAAATAATATTTTCGTTTGAAAATGCTCGAATTTTCACGAGTGCTTAGAAGATACTTCCAGAAAATGTTGGTCAATTGGTTGTAGTATTTAAAAGCAGTAAAAAAAAAACGTGTATATAACTTTCCGCTAAGCCTCCAAGAGGACTGGGCACGAAATAAAAATTCAGCTTTTTAAACTTCCATTAAAGCT